TCTGATGTTTACAAAATACACCTTTAACTGATCTACCTTCAAATAACATGCTACTTATATATAACAGCCTTACAACAGTATCCTTAATGTTTTCCTCTCATGCTTTGTGTTGTCCTGTATTTTAATTCTGTATGTGATATAAATCCCACATTCCATTATTTTAGCTTTAAGCAGTTAATTATCTGTCAAAAATTTTAAATAAGAAAACCTTTCATATTTGTCCATCATTTGTTATTGCTGACAAGTTTACATAAGGTATCATTTTCCTTGCTTCAAGGACTCCCTTTAACTTGGTTGCAGTGTTGATCTGCTGGTGTGGTCTCACAACTTCGAAAGAGTCTTTATTTTGTGTGTTTGTTTGTTTTTATGATGCTGGGAATGGAACCCAAGGTCTTGTGTATGCTAGGTGAGCACTCCACCGCTAAACTACATCCCAGCTTCCAATTTGATACCTTTTAAGCTTTGTTGGACTGAGTTCTAGACTGCCTTTGGTCTAGGGCTAACATGACCCAGCTACAATATTCTGAGAACTTACTCAGTGTCCCTTTTTTTTGGTAAGACAGGCTCTCTCTCTGTAGTTCAGGCTGCCCTTGAACCTGCACTCCTCCTGCCTCAGCCTCTTAAGTACTGGGATAATGGCTATACACCACCATTCCAGTTCAATGTCTTACACTAGAAGGTCTTTCCCCTCCAACTGGTGAAAAAATGAACTGTTTCCAACCTTGTGTGAGGACTTGGGGTTGTTGTGCATGTATGGCTTTACCTAGTCTTGGATAATTATTTCCCTAATCTTAGTTTTTTTTCACATGCTTGTGCAGCTTCCAGCTAAAGGCTACAAGAACTCCCCTGCAGATGTCTGGAGCTTTTTCTCTGCAGCTCCATTACCTTTACTATTTTGCCATGTAAGTTCCAGCCACATTGCCCTTCCTGAACTCAATGTGTTCTCACTAACTGAGCATGTTGGCTGGGCTCCATTTGAGTTGCCTTTCTCTGCCACAGCCAGTGATGTAGGCAGTGAAATGGGGTGCTCACAGGACTTGCCATGTTTGCTTCCCTTTTCACAGGGGCTAATCTGCTGTCTGCCTTTTGCCCAAAGTCCAAAAACCATTATTTTATCCATTTTGTCAGACTTTCTAATTGTTAAAGTAATAGGGTAAACCTGATCCCTGGTATTCCGTCGTAGATGGAATTTAAGATAGAATGAGGGCTGGGGATTTAGCTCAGTGGTTCTGCCGCCTGCCTCTCAAACACAAGGTCCTCAGTTTGGTCCCAGGTACCAAAAAAAAAAAAAAAAATTGAATGAAGTTTTAAACTCTGAATATTAAAAAGACTTTTCTCTAATCACACAAATGTCAACATAGTCTTTGGTTTTGCATTTTGATAAAAAATGGTGCAGAAAAAATGCTGCTATTCTTGTCTCGAGTTAGATTGTACCTGATTTATTTATATGCTTAAAAAAATAGGTCATACATCTAAATGTCTAGAAAATAAAAGATGTATAGTCAAAAGTTGTAATCAATTTGAAAAACAAATTTTGTGGTTTGTTTTGTTAGCTGTGCTAGGGATTAAACTCAGAATTCTTTGTCCTTTACCCATCTAATTCCTAAGTACTACCAGCATTTCCCCACATTCAGATATTAATTTCTTAGGTATCTTTCTGTGCATTTGTTCTCCTTGACCATCACATATATTCTTTTTTTTTTTGGACTGGGGATTGAACTCAGAACCTTGTGCTTGCGAAGCAGGCAGCGGAACCACTGAGCTAAATCCCTGGCCATCACATATATTCTTATCCCAGTCCTATTTTACATAAAGGATAGCACCCACACATACCATGCTTTTTTTAAAAAAGCAATGTATTAAAGAGCTCTTTCCATATCAGCTCACAAAAAGCATACTTTTGGGGGTGCTTTGGTCAAACTGGGGGTTGAACCCAGGCTCTTGCACATGGCAAGCTTTCCACCCCTGAGCTGCATCCCCGGCCCCAACACATACTTTTTAAATTTTGAAGGTGCTGAGTATTCCATATCATGGATTAAATCATAATTTGTTTGGTCCCTATATAATCAGTTGTTCCCAGCTTTTGCTGTTACAGGTAGTGCTAAAATGAGTAGCCATGAACATATTTCATTTTGTACATGTGAAATTGTATCAGTAGAAGACTTCTGAGAAATAGAAAATATTGGGCCGCAGGATATATTTACTTTTAATTTTGACTATTATTGTTAAATTGCCTTCCTTTGAAGTTGTAGCATGTCACATTGCATCTGCATAGTATGAGAATGTCTATTTCCTGTATTCTCAAGATTACACTCACGTTTTTGTGTGTTAATTTTTAAAATAGCTTCTTGCTGGCATGTAGCTCAATATAGAGCACTTATCTAGCATGTATGAATGAGGCCCTGGGTTCCATCTCCACCTCTACAAAAAACAAAGTTGTTTAAAATGGCAGGTATAGTAGTTTTAGTTTGCATTTTTGTTATCAGTGAGATTGTGTATCTTTGCTATGTTAAGATCTGTCTGTGTTTCCTTTCTCTGTACTCTTGGTATTCTTTACCCATTTTCATATTGCAGTGTTGGATATATTTTCTGTCTTTACTTGTAGAAGCCCTTAGGGAGAATAATTCTTTGTCTTTGATGCTGTTTGAAAATATTTTTTCCATTTTGTTGTCTGACTTTTGACATGTTTTTTCCCATACATACGTAATGTTTCTAGTTTTTGAATTACATTTAAGAACTAGTGGGAGGGGCAGGGGAAAGGAAAGAAGGGAAAGGAAAAAATGATGAGAAATGGAAAAAATGGAAATAAAGTCTTTGTAAATAGGGAA